TCATATTTTTTAAATAAATAATTATATTTATGCTCTACTTTTACATCGAACACTATTTTTTAAAAATAATAACAAAAAATACTAAAAAGAACTTTGGATTATTTACCCTAACGAGTTCTTTCCTATTTTCTAGATATTTTTCACACACACACACACACACACACACACACACACACACACACACACACACACATATATATATATATATATATATATATATATATATATATATATATATATATATATTATATATATTTTCACAAACTCACATCAATCCAACTAAATATGTTAGCTCTATCGCTGATATTGAGCGCTTTCCAATAAGTGCCGCATATATATTATATATAAAAATTGCGTATATATATATATATATATATATATATATATATATATATATATATTTATTTGAAACTACTGTGGATAGGTAGAAAGAATCAAATACTCCCTGACATGGTCTAAGCTTGTATTACATCAGGTTTTTGACTGTCAGGTTGCGTGTTATTTTTGAAACACGTTGGGTATTTCCGTCTTTCGTCAAAAATCGTTTGTCCCCCTTTCAAAATAGTGTGTATAAGTTTAAATGTCAGTGGGATGCTGAATATATAGAACGGACCAATCAAAGGCGAGAGACTGAATTGGTTAACATGTTCCTGCTCCTATAAGATCAGGTAATCTCAGTCATTTCGGGTGCCAGCACAGGAGGGGGTGGGTGACACAATGTCACCCCAACAAAATTTTTCAACCAGGCTAAGGTGCCAAAAATAGTCTGACAACAGTGGTGGAGACACAGGGTTTTGCAGGCGAGTATATGACCCCCCAGAAATAATTTATGACTCCCCCCACCAAGTTTTGTCCCACCGTCAGAAATTTTCTAATAAATTGTCGGGAAATTTGTGAGTAGGAAAAATAGCAATGTTTTCAGCTTTCATGTGTTTCAGTTGCTACAATCTTGGTTACTAACAAGAGACATTGTTGTAACATTTTATCGGATGATATGGTGTTTTAACTCTGCATCATTAATAACAACAAAACGAAATACGAAGCCAAAAGTGCAACAATTTCAGTCTTGCCTGTGTATCAATTCGCTGAGATACAATTTTCCATTGAGTGAGCGATATACTTTTGAATATATCTACTAGTGTTGAGACGATTAATCGGAATCGAGAATCGGAAAAATCGGAACTTTTTGGGGTATCGGAATCGGAAAAATATTTTTTCATGAGTTTACTTCTGAAACCAACATTTAGTAAGTACTTCATGGCTTGAAAATAAGATATTTAACACCACTAAAAACCTTCCATCTACCTAAGGTATGTAGATGATATTCTCCTCTTAGATTAAATATATAAATTGCAAAAACCTTCCACAAACCTCGTAAGATCACATATAAACTTAACAATAACAATAAAATTCATTTTCTTGATATATTGATAGACACTTATAATAATATATTTACTACCTCCCCACATAAAGAAAACTAACCAACATAAGCATGTACATTCTCAACTATAAAAGTGAAAGTCTTTTTACAAAGAAGCGATTATACAACATTTAATAAACCCTGCAAAAAATTTCTACATTGAATTAAAAGAAATTAGACAAACTCTAATTGATAATGACTTTGCTAATTACGTTGTTGATCAACAAATTAGATGAGCTATTAACATAAATCAAAAAGAACATAATACATCCTCAAATAACCCTACACATATCAATCAACTATATCGCAATCAAATACACTCTAAATGCAATCAAGATAAAAAATTCATCGAAAAAACTCATAAGTACTAACATATCAACCACTGATCCCAGTAAAAAATAAAACTAATCATATACTATACTAAATTTAATACAACCAACTTAATCATTCGCAATAATTCTTCTTCTATTGATATTTTACAAAAACCAACATTGTATATCAATTTAAATGGCCTTCGGGAGATTGTATTTCTGATAAAAAAGTAAATATATATGTTGGTTTCGCCACAGCATTATAAAGAGGGGCTTACATTACACATGGCAGTAGCCCAACATTTAAAGGAGCATTCATAATTTAGAGAAATATTAATTCGCAATACAATTGTAGTGCACCAAGAAAATAAAAAAAAACCTCTATATAAAAAAAATAGAACCAACACTAAATAAGATTAATTACAAGTATAGCAACAATGTTTTAAAATATCTATAACAGCAAGGTTTTAAAATACCTTAATTGTAATTTTAAAAAAATACAGTTATAGAAGTAATGTTTTAAAATACTTAATTTGTAATTCTATAAAAAATTACAAATTCAGTTACCTCCCTTGGATAAATTTAATTTTTGAATTAAGAGAGTGTGTTTCATGCGCATTTACAAAAGAATTCACAACTATTAATCACATTAATTGTTGTCTTAGCAATTAACCCCTGAAGATGATCTTGGATGAGATTGAAAGTACTTGAGAAAATAAAAGAAATCCCCACCCCCCCAAAATTAAAAAAAATACGGTGCCTTCCTTCTTGAGTTTAATAACAACATGAAGAATTTGGTCTGTGAATTTGAGCGGATGAAAATAAAGATAAACAAACATATGTGTTGATTATTCAACCAAACATGCTTGAATTAAAATATGCTGCATAAATACACACACACACACACACACACACACACACACACACACATATATATATATATATATATATATATATATATATATATATATATATATATATATATATTATTTATCGTACATAATGCTATTGTAGTGAAGCGCTGAAAAGCATTACACTCATCATGAAATGGTTACATCCCCACTGACCCCTTTTTTTAGTCAGAACTTCTTTTTAAAAGTTGAATTAATCCCGCAGGTGTTTGCACACCATTATTATCTTCATAGCAGCCCTAAATCTTTAATTGATTGTATTTTTGCCTCCAGATATAAAGGGGCGAAAGAAAGAATTTATTTTCTAATTCACTTTTTAAAAGTATTATTATAAATCGCATTTACTGTAATTTCAATCAATGGATTAGTCAGTTATATTCACATTTTAATAAAAAGTAAATATAATGTGCCTAGACAAAGTAGCATCGAATAGTCATAGTAATGGTAATATTAGCCGTCTCTTTATAAGGAATCATTCGGCATTCACTCTCCTAGCTTGATCTATTGTTGGTATTAATTTATAAAATCTTTCTCTTAAGACAATTTACCAGGAAGATAGTTTTTTTTCAAATACAATAGATGTTATCGAAATTTCCCGTATTATACAATAAAGTACAAATTGGAAACTTTATTCTGTCGGATTCTGATCCATTTTTGATCTGTATTTGATCCCAATTCTTTTTTCCAGTATTGATGGAAGCTTCCTTCTTAACCTTTTATTTGCAGTAGTGTGGGATGTCAGCGTCTTCATTATGTCATTATTTTCTCTTCGAGTGACGTGTGATATCTATTTTCTCTGTTGCTACTGAAGAAAGTCCACGAGCGATGTGGTCTCTGTTATTTGGGATAGTTGTTTGTGATTTTCAGCGCCAGTACAGAACGTTCGAAAAAGTATGTTTTTCACCAAGATCCATAGGCTTCACTCGTTCAAAGCCATTTTTGAAAATTGGTCTTAGCAAAGTCGTTGCGTACAGTTGAAAGTTTAGATATTTTTGAACGGGGTTGGAGCCAGGCATGGCGTCCATATGAATGCCTCGATGTGATGTAGCCATTTAAGAAGATACAAAATGTCCGGAACTATATGTTCCCAAAGATTATTATACAACCGGGTGATTTCAGTTGAGTCTCTATTTTTATAAACTTGTTATTGAAACAATGTGGGATGCATAAAACTTGCAGAAGAAAAAATAGAGGAAAAAAAATTAAAATAAAAATGATTTGAAAATTAGCTAAAACTCTAATTTATATAAGGATACTGGCGTCGAGATTTTATCAATTTGTAGTTGAACTGGCTAGATATTACCGTAAATTCTATACTGACAGTTCGTTTTCTCGCATTTCTGACTTGTGGAACGCCCTTCTGGTTCCATTCTTTTCAGCCAAATTTAATCACAAAATTTAAAAGCAGTGTCAATCGCTATCTACTGTCCTCCTGATTACACCTTTATCTTTCCACTCAGTATTAATATTTCTGTATCTCTCTAGATTTCTGAGATGAGGTATTATGTACACTATTTACATTATTCGGACTACTGTTCTCATCTTTGTTGCCATATTTATCACAACGTTTCGGCCGTTGTACGCTCCGACCTTCTTCAGGTGGTTGGAATGTCGAACTGAACCCTTTATTTTACTCGCTGGGCTAGAATGTTCTAGTTCCACGTGCCATGTCTAATGGATGTCAGTTATCAGTTATCTCCTGCTAATTCACCTCTCCAAGTTCTCCACTGCCTTAAACAAGTATTGAACTCACAACTTTTTGAGTCCTGTCACTGGATCTAACCAAAGCCTTTATTCTCTGTGCCATGTGGCCTTAATATTTCTGTTCCTAATTCTTCTACACCCTGTAACCCCTTGAGTCTTAGTGGCTTTACTACTTTGCATGGGATGATATCGATTTTTTAAAAAGTTATATGCAATATTGAATTATTGAAAAATCACCAATTAACCAAAATAAAATTAAAAAAATAATACGGTAAAGATTAAGAACATGATTGATAGAAAACACCAAACCTGAAGCGTTTCTTTCAAAAGAATTGATATGAAGACGTTAAAACGGTAACGTCAGAACTACGGACGTCGTAGTAGCATCTGTAATATCATAGAGAATGGATATATTTTTGGCTTTATTTTCAAAGCCCGCTTTGTAGATTTAAGCAGACGACGTAAGAATATTGAAGCTTTAGGAAGCAATCTATAATATATAGAATGAAATAAAATCGATACAAAACTTATAACTTATATAAAACTGGGGCAGGAAGCAGTAACGTGTATTGGAGGGGGTGGTCAGCTAGCAAAGAGAACATTCACCATGACAACAAAATGTTTATAGATTAGAAATTGGGGAAGTAATCGAAATTAAATAAACAGATAAGAATGGAAGCGAGAGAAGAAAGAAGATATTGAAAGATAGGAAGAAAAAATGAAATAAGAAGTAAAAGGTAAAGGAAGAGGAAAATAAAGAGAACGAAGAATAAAGTAGAAAGAGGATACGGACACAAAAGAAGGATGAGGGGGGGGAAGAGACCAGGAGAAAATAATAGGGAAAGGAGAAAAAGTATCCGACGAAAAGAGAGAAAGGAGAAGAAGGAGAGCGTTAAAAAGAAAAAAGAAAGAAAAATAATCAGGTTTAAAATAAGAGTGGAAGTAGAAACTGAAAAAAAGGAGGAGAGAGAGAGAGAGAGAATGAATGTGAAAAGGGGAGGAAAGGGAGAATGAATCATAGGAAAAAGAGAGGAAACAGCGAAAGAATAATATGAAAAGGAGGGGAAAGAGACAGTGAATCATGGGAAAGGGAGGGGGAAAAAGCGAAAGAATCATGGGAAAAGGAGAGGAAAAGGAAATAAAATAATATGAAAAGTAGAGGAAACGGCGAATGGGTCACGTGAAAAAGAGTGGAAATGAAGAAAAAATCAGGGGATAAGGAGAGAAAAGAACAAAAGGATCATGTGAAAAGGAGAGGAAAGGGGGAATGAATCAGGGGAAAAGGAGAGGAAAGGGAGAATGAATCAGGAGAAAAGGAGAGGAAAGGGAGAATGAATCAGGGGAAAAAGAAAGGAAAGGGAGAATATGCCATGTGAAAAGAAGAGGAAAGGGGGAATGCATCAGGGGAAAAAGGAGAGGAATGGCAGAATGAATCAGGGGAAAAGGAGTGGAAAGGGAGAATGAATCAGGGGAAAAGGAGTGGAAAGGGAGAATGAATCAGGGGAAAAGGAGTGGAAAGGGAGAATATGTCATTTGAAAAGGAGAGGAAAGGTAGAATGAATCAAGGGCAATGAGAGGAAAGGTAGAATATGTCATATGAAAAAGAGAGGAAAGGGAGAATGAATCAGGGGAAAAGGAGTGGAAAGGGAGAATGAATCAGGGGGAAAAGGAGGGAAAGGGAGAATATGTCATATGAAAAAGAAAGGAAAGGGAGAATGAATCAGGGGAAAAAGAGAGGAAAGGGAGAATGAATCAGGGGAAAAAGAGAGGAAAGGGAGAATATGTCAAGTGAAAAGGAGAGGAAAGGGAGAATGAATCAGCGAAAAAGAGAGGAAAGGGAGAATATGTCAAGTGAAAAAAAGAGGAAAGGGAGAATATGTCATGTGAAAAAGAGAGGAAAGGGAGAATGAACCGGGGGAAAAGGAGAGGAAAGGGAGAATGAATCAGGGGAAAAGGAGAGGAAAGGGGAATGAATCAGGGGAAAAGGAGAGGAAAGGGAGAATGAATCAGGGGAAAAAGAGAGGAAAGGGAGAATATGCCATGTGAAAAGAAGAGGAAAGGGGGAATGCATCAGGGAAAAAAGGAGAGGAATGGAAGAATGAATCAGAGGAAAAGGAGAGGAAAGGTAGAATGAATCAAGGGCAATGAGAGGAAAGGTAGAATATGTCATATGAAAAAGAGAGGAAAGGGAGAATGAATCAGGGGAAAAGGAGTGGAAAGGGAGAATGAATCAGGGGAAAAGGAGTGGAAAGGGAGAATATGTCATTTGAAAAGGAGAGGAAAGGTAGAATGAATCAAGGGCAATGAGAGGAAAGGTAGAATATGTCATATGAAAAAGAGAGGAAAGGGAGAATGAAACAGGGGAAAAGGAGTGGAAAGGTAGAATATGTCATATGAAAAAGAGAGGAAAGGGAGAATGAATCAGGGGAAAAAGAGAGGAAAGGGAGAATGAATCAGGGGAAAAAGAGAGGAAAGGGAGAATGAATCAGGGGAAAAGGAGAGGAAAGGGAGAATGAATCAGGGGAAAAGGAGAGGAAAGGGGAATGAATCAGGGGAAAAGGAGAGGAAAGGGAGAATGAATCAGGGGAAAAGGAGAGGAAAGGGGAATGAATCAGGGGAAAAGGAGAGGAAAAGGGAGAATGAATCAGGGGGAAAAAAGAGGGAAAGGAGAATATGCCATGTGAAAAGAAGAGGAAAGGGGGAATGCATCAGGGTAAAAAGGAGAGGAATGGAAGAATGAATCAGGGGAAAAGGAGTGGAAAGGGAGAATATGTCATTTGAAAAGGAGAGGAAAGGTAGAATGAATCAAGGGCAATGAGAGGAAAGGTAGAATATGTCATATGAAAAAGAGAGGAAAGGGAGAATGAATCAGGGGAAAAGGAGTGGAAAGGTAGAATATGTCATATGAAAAAGAGAGGAAAGGGAGAATGAATCAGGGGAAAAAGAGAGGAAAGGGAGAATGAATCAGGGGAAAAAGAGAGGAAAGGGAGAATATGTCAAGTGAAAAGGAGAGGAAAGGGAGAATGAATCAGCGAAAAAGAGAGGAAAGGGAGAATATGTCAAGAAAAAGGAGAGGAAAGGAGAATATGTCATGTGAAAAAGAGAGGAAAGGAGAATGAACCGGGGGGAAAAGGAGAGGAAAGGGGGGAATGGATCAGGGGAAAAGGAGAGGAAAGGGGAATGAATCAGGGGAAAAGGAGAGGAAAGGGAGAATGAATCAGGGGAAAAAGAGAGGAAAGGGGAATGAATCAGGGGAAAAGGAGAGGAAAGGGAGAATGAATCAGGGGAAAAGGAGAGGAAAGGGGAATGAATCAGGGAAAAGGAGAGGAAAGGGAGAATGAATCAGGGGAAAAAGAGAGGAAAGGGAGAATATGTCAAGTTAAAAGGAGAGGAAAGGGAGAATATGTCATGTGAAAAAGAGAGGAAAGGGAGAATGAATCAGGGGAAAAGGATTGTAATGGCAGAAAGAATTATGGGAAAAGAGAAGAAAGAGAATAAATTAATTTGGAAAGGAGGGTAAGCAGCGAAATATTCCTTTGAAAAAGAGAGAAATGGAAGAATGAATCATCTAAAACTTAAGAGAGGAGAAAAAGAATCGTGTGAAAAGGAGGAGAGTCGGTGAAAGAATCATGTGAAAAGGAGAGGAAAGTGGAAACAACGTGAGAATAAGGGAAAAAGAGAAGAAGGAAAAACATGGGAAGTATCATGTGGAAAGGCGAGGAAAGAAAAGTTGAACGAAAATGAGAGAAAAATCAACAAACGAAAAGAAAGAGTGGACGAATCATGTGCAAAGGAGAGGTGGGAGAAAAGTATGGAGCAAAAAATCAGAAGAAAGCAAAGAATCATATAGAAATGAGAAGAAGGACAAGAATAATCATGTGAAGAGGAGAGAAAACGGAATGAAACAACAATGAGGAGGAGGAGATGAATTAAGTGAAAGGGATGGGAATTAGAGGAAGAATGAGTTGAGAAAGACTAGAAGAGAAAGAACAGTTTTGCAAGGAGATGAAAAGAAAAAGAAAAATAGTGTGTGTAATGAAGAGGAAAGGGTAAAAGAAAGTGCGAAGAAGTAAAGGAAGAGAGAACAAATGAAACAAATACATTTATTATTAACAGCAAAAAGAAATGAAATAATCTTGTAATGGAAAGAAGAAAGTGTTAAATGAAGTTGTAAGCCAAATAACTGTATGGAGGTAGCAAAAACAATAATGTAAATAATCGTAAAAACTTTAGTAAGGATTTCTAAGAAAAGAAAAAATAGTAGCAATAATTCTAAGAATTATGAAAATAATCGTAAGAAAAGTTTAAAAAAAAAAAAAAAGGAAGTAAAAATGAAAGTAACATTTTGACAAACAAAACACAGGATATGGCAAAAGGAAAAACCAGGAAGAGAAAAGTTTTAGGTTTTGATAAGGAATCAAGTAGAGCGAAAGTAAATAACTGAAACAATGTGAAGAGAAAGCGAGAGGTTTGTACAAAAGGAAAGAGAAAGTGAGAAAGAGAGCCAGAAAAGCAAAGAAAGAGAGTGAGTGAGACAAATAAACAAACAAAGAAATATAGAACTCAAAGAAAGAAAGAGAGTGAAAAAAGAAAAAAAGAAAGATTGTGAGTGAGAAAGGGAAAGAAAGAAATTACGTAAAAGAAAGAGGCGAGTGATAAAAAGAAAGATAGCAAAAGAAAAAACGTAAGAAAGAAAGGATGAGAAAAAGTAAGAAAGAGAGTGAAAAAAATAAACAAAGAAAGAAAGAAAAAACAAAAGAAAAAATGAGAAAAAAAGAAGACAATAACTCGAGTCAGTGAGAAAAAGAAAGAAATAGATTAAGAAAAAGAACGAAATAAAGAATGCGAGTGAGAAACAGAAAGAGAGAAAGGCAGCAAGAAAAAGAAGGAAAAAACAATGCAATCGAGCAAAAGAAAGAAAGAGAGTGAAAGAATGGAAAAAAAAAGAAAGAAAATAAAAATGATAGAAAGAATAAGATTAAAATAGAATGATAAAAATACAAAATAGAAAACAATCATTGTTCTAACTGCGGTGAAACAAAAACAGGAAAAGAGAGAAGTATTAAATGAATGAAAAAGTTTCATAAAATGTCTAAGACAGCAAAAAAGAGAAAGAAAATGAAACACTAAAAAGAAAATAAAAAAAAACAACCTCAAAATCTTTTGGTAAAAAAACAAACTACAAAGAACGCACGAAACGTACAAAATGGCGGTATTCATAGTTATTGTATTGCATCTAAACGTTTCTTGTGCCTGCAAGAAAGAAATAAACAATTTAAACAAGAAAAAATATTCAAGGGAAAATAGTTGGTGAAAAAGTCTTAGAAGCTTTCGAAATAAATATACAAACCAATGACGATAAATAAAGATAAGTTAAGTAAATAACACGGGGGAGTATATAATGTCGAAAGACACACAAATAACAAAATCTATATACGAATAATAAATAATGCATTAGAATAAAATTAAATATAGAAAAAGTAAGACGCGCTAAGAAAATTCGCCTCGGCCTAACCGAAATTATATTGTCGACGATCTTATTCAGTATTTATTATTGTTAAATCTGCCGACTTGAGTTCACTCAACTTTTAGCTTTTCAGCTTCCAAAACCGTAAAAGCCGTTCCCGCGGACATTTTATTGAAGCAGATAAATTCCAAACTAAAAAGTAAGTTAAGTGAGGATTCCGGCAGTGATTTAAAACCCGATATTTTTTTTATCTATTTTTCTATTTTTTTTTTTATTTTATTTTTTTTTTTTTTTTTTTTAAGCCCGCGGAGTTTGCCAACGACAAAAAAATCTTACCGGCTAGTGTTATTATTAGCTATATTCAAATGACAGCATCCGGAGAAATAAAATTATAAGAACTCTGAGACAAGGTATTAAGGGAAGGCGTGAAGAAAGTACTAACCACCGATTCTAAAAAAAAGACACAATGTGTGCCATTAACAAAAGGTGTCGTCGAAGTTATGAACCACCAATTGAATCAAGCAAGTACTGAGGTTTAACATGTTTTCAACTGACATGAACAGGAATGAATATGTTGATTCAGTTGCTTAATCTAGTGCAAGGAAAGTTAGTTCACTGTGTCGTGCCAGGCAATTTTTTTTTTTTGTTG